CTATGTGGACCAGGCCAATGCAAAAGCTGATTTACAGTATATAGCTCTAGCTGTAAATCGACAAAATAGTCATTACCAGCATACATGTGATAATCAAGAAAACAAAGAAATCAAAAAAACCTAGTCTTTTTTTAAAGAACAACAATGTAGGGATTCTGAAGCAGCTCTTTGTTCTGGAGCACAATCACATCTCCTTAAACTATCCAACATGTCCAAGTGAGGTCTGCAGATTGGGTCCGAACCGAGAAGATGGAGGATTAAGTTCATTTGAAGAAATTACATTTTGAGCATCATGTTCTTGCATCCTACAATTTTTCTTGGTGACATAAGAGTTTAGGAGGTGGGCAATTACATTTTTGGACGAGCCTCCTTGTGAAAATCAGCTGTTCTCACATATGCTGCTGAGCATGGCTGGGGAAAATCAAACAACCTCATGGACTGAAGTGACCTGCTTAAATTCCAATCACCAGCCTGCTCCGCGCTGCCTGCAGTTCATGCTGTCCCTTGGTCTGTCCGGGCGTCCGCCTCCTTGTGACCTCCCCACCTCCTCCTCCATTCACCCTCCAATGTCTAGGGGTCTCCCTAGCCCTCAGTCTCAGGTCAGGTGGCAGCCCTGTCTTCTACCTTGAGAACGTGGAAGCAGTGAGGAGTCCCTTCCACAGACTCCTACTGCCAAACCTGCCCACCCACCAGCACCTGTGCCACAGACACTGCCTCCTCTCCTCTCACTCACCCATTCCCCCAACCATGCTCCTACCCTTAGGGAAGCCCTCAAGCCCTCTAGTTGTGCACTGGCTTAAGTTGTGTTCCTGTCTTAAGAAAAAACAAACCACCAGTTTACATTGCCTCATGAACTATTGCTCTACTTTCCTGTTCTTGAGCAAAATTCTCTTAAAAATTGTCTAAACTTGCTACATCCAATCTCTCTCTTTCTATTTCCTTATTTTTAGGGATTGTTTTTTTTTTCATTTTCATTTGTTTACTAATTAGGTGAAACAGTTAAAGAGTTCCAGTGTCAAAACTGCAACAGGTACATTTAGAAAGGCTTACATTCCACCTTTGCTTTGTCCTTTCTGCTCTATTCCTTCCCTCCCCCATAGGTAATCATGTCCTTTGTCTTTGCTTTTCTGTTACATTCTGTTCTGATATGCGTGTATGTATATATGCACAATAGTCATATTCCCCCCTTTCTCAGATTAAAGTAGCATACTATATACATCATTCTGCACTTTCCTTTTTTCCACTAAAAAAAACCATAGTGGTAACCCCACTGAAGCACACGGAGTTCTTCCTTATTTCTTTGACTACTGGTTCCCCTTCTTGATGGGTATGTGGATTGCTTCTACTCTTGCTGTTAGAAAGAAGCTATGATGAATAGCTTTACGCATGTGTCTTTTTGCCTATTTGCCAATGTAACTTTGGGATCGATTTGTAGCAGCAGCATTGCTGGCTGGGCCAAAGGATAGGTGGATATGTAATACTGTTAGATAGAGATTGCCAAACTCCTCTCCACAGAGAGGGCATCTCATTGCCTCCTCATAGCAACTTATAAGATCACCTACTTTCCTACACTCTGCCAGTGGAATATGTTAAGTTTGTGGACTTATGCCAATCTGACAGGTGGGAAATGGTTTCTCAGTTTATTAATTTGCATTTCTCTATTTTTTGGCAAGAATACTTCGTAAGTGATGTGTATACTTACACTGGGGGCATATTTTTCTTCCTTTTTTAAAAATTAAATTTACTATTTTAAGATGATTGTAGATTAACCTGCAATTGTAAGAAACAATGCAGAGGTGGCATGTACCTTTTATTCAGTTTCCTCTAAGGGTAATATTTTGTGAAACTATTGTATAACCAGGAGATTGACATTGATACTGTCCAGATAAAAACTTGTCCATGATCAGTGACTGTAATGGGATATGGGGGACTTGATAATAGGGGGAAATGTAGTAACCAGAATGTTGCTCGTGTGAAACCTTCATAAGATTGTATATCAATGATACCCTAATAAAAAAGCACTGTCCATCTTAAGGATCCCTAATGTGGCCCGGTAATAGCCACACCTACTTCGCTCGCACCCCCACCCCCTCTCAGCCCATAGCAACCACTCATTTGTTCTCCATTCCTATAATTTTGTCTTTTCATTTCAAGGATATTAAACACATGGAATAATGCAGCATGTAGCACTTGGTAGCTTGGTCTTCTTTACTCAGCATAATTCTCTGGTGCTCAATCCAGGTTATTGTGGTATCAGTTTTTATTTTAACTGGTGAATAATATCAAGCAGTATTGAATAGTATTCCAATAGAATTGCTGAAGAGTATGAAGGACATCTGGGTTGTTTCCGGTTTGGGGCTATAAATAAAGCTGCTGTGAGCAATCATGTACATGTCTTGCGTGGACACAAGTTTTCATTTCTTTGCAATAACTGCCCAGGAGTACAATTGCTGGGTTCTGTGGTAGTTGCATGTCTACTATTTTAAGAAACCAGCAAACTTTCCTGAGTGGGTGTGCCATTTTACACTCCCACCCACAGTGTATGAGTGAGCCACTTTCTCTGCACCCTCACCAGAGGGTGGTGGTATCACTACTTTTTTTGCAGCCATTCTGATAGATGTGTAGCAACTTCTCATTGTGGTTTTCATCTGCCTTTCCTGAATGGCTAATGGTGTTGAACATCTTTTCAGATGCTATGTGTCCACTCTTCATCCTGGTCAGTGATAATGCCTCATTGTGTCTTCTGCCAATTTTCTGATGTCTGTTTTTTATACTGTTGTTTTGAGAATCCGTATACATTCTGGACACAAATTCTTTGTCTGATATGCAGTTTGCAAATATTTTTTTTCCAGTCTGTAGTTTATCTTTCATCTTCTTAATGGGGTCTTTCTCAGAGCAAACACTTAAAAAATTTTTTTAGTTTTCCTTTTACAGATTGTGCTTTTGGTATCATGCCTAAAACTCTGCCCAGTTCTTAGTGTCAAAGATTTTTTCCTGTTTTCTTCTGTTTTTTTTAAATATAGGTTTAAATTTTACATTTAAGTCCATGGTATATTTTAGGTTAATTTCTTAGAAGATCAAGGTTTATTTTTCTTCCCATGGATGACCAATTGTAGTTGTATATAACTCTAGAGTATGATAAACTGATGATTCTCCTCAAGCATAGAGTGTTTCACAGGATGCGCTACACTGTCACCTTTGAAATGGCAGGTTGTGCTATGAAGAGTTTTCAAGTGTTGCTAGGATGGAATTCCATTTATCAATGGTTGTCATGTCATCCCATGATAATTAGTTTCAGGTAATGAATTTAACGCTTATCTTACTTTATCAATGGCATGGGAGTATTCCCAATTTTTCTGTATTCCTGTCTTGGTACATACAAACTGAATATCAACCCTTTGCTCTATGTCAACCTATGTATCAACCTATATATCAGCCTTAGTACAACCCTGTATCAACCCTATTTCCAAGTTTAACATTAACTGTTACTTCTTATTCCAACACTGAAAATAGAAATGTTTTAGAAAAGAATACTTTTATATGTGAGCTTAATTGTTTTTAATCATAAATTAAAAGAATCATGAGTTCAACTATTCAAGTGCAATAATTGGTAATCTCAATAATACTGTAGGATAATAGAAAGAATTAGACCTCTCTTTTGAATGTTAAGGAACAAATACTTCTGTCAACATATTCTGGAGAAGCATTTATAACAATAAAATGTATAAACCCTATGACAGTAATAGTTATTTCTGAATACTTCTAAGCAATTATATTGTGCCAATACTTTGAAGGTAACTAAATCTCCAAAAGTGTTTTCACCTTTGACATGAATGTGAGGCTGTCTAGAAGCAGAAAATAACTTTAAACAAAAAAAAAAAAAAGGAATTGTGTAGTAATATAAAGAGTAATTATTAGAATATGCCACACATTGTTCTACTGCTTTACTTGTATTATTTTACTAATCCTCATAATAATCCTTTGAAGGAAACGAGGCTGCATGGAGGATTAAGTCGCTTGCCCAGGCTGGAAAGTCATAGAATCAAGATATGAACTCGGTAAGTCTGGCTCTAGAGCCTGAGCTATCTTAACCACAGTAACTTATTTCCTCTCGTATGGGAAATGTAGGCTCAGGATCGGTAGAACTGACTTAGATTAATTGAACAGAATTCTTTTTGTCCAAGCTTATTCTCTGCACACACATTCTATGTCCCATAGTGCGACACGGTGGCACGGCTGCAAAGCTGCAGGAGAGCAGAGCAGAGGCTGGAGTAGTGGCAGCGCCGAGGACAGAGGCCCAGAGGACGGCTGTGTGGGACGGCTGTGCGGACAGAGAGGGACCCAGGGGCAGAGACCGGCTTGCTGCCTGCAGACTCGGTCTGAGTGGACGGGATTCTAGTGACTGACCTGCCACCTGGAAATAAAGTTGTGTATAACCCTTTCACTCCAAGAACGTTTTGCTGTCAGTTCCTTTGGTCACATTAAATCCATAGTAAACTTGCCCGGGGCTGAAACCCATTGGCAAGACACTGATACATACTTGCTTTATCTACAGCACAAACATATCAGAATGTTTAATTTATATTATTTTAAAAAAACGGTGCGTATTTGCTTTCAACTGAAGAACCAACGAATAAGCAGTCCATCAACCAGGTTGCGGGACTGCAGACAAGCTGCGCGCGGTGCCGCAGCCCCACGGTTCCTCCACGTCAGCGGCGCTCAGCGCCCACCCCGGGGAAGGGGCGTGGCCGTCAAGAATGCGCCCGCGCGGCAGCGTCCATCCCAAGCCTAGAGGCGGAGCGGGGCCTTTCCGCAGTCCAGAGGCCCGCCCCACCTTCCTGCCTTGCGATTGGTGAGTTGTCCTCTCCTGGGGCGGGGACTAGAGGATTCACAGCCGTCTTCTCCAATGGAAATGGGACAGAGGCGGGCCTAGTGGTGGAAGGAGCATGGCGTGGAGACACCTGAAAGTGAGTCCAGAAATTGCGTCTCTGCTGTGGCGAGGAACGGACTGAGTCGGGAGCGGGGCGAGGGAAGAATGGAGGGTTAGCCTGGGCGAGGTGTGGACGCTGGGCGGCTGGAGGGCGTGGGCTCCCGTGGCACGTTGGTGCGTGTCTGGGGGTGCAACTGCTCGTGCGTGTGCATTTGCACGTGTTCCGGTGTGTATAAACGGCACATGCCTGTCTGGGCCGATGCAGATCTGTGTCAGCGCACATGGGCCAAACTTATGCTGGGGCTGTTACAGGGGCGTTTAGTGAACACATGCCAGCCTGCATTGTGTGCAGGATTCACCTTGGAATAGGACATGGTCCCAGACCTTCTAGATAAAATTGTAGGGCGGGGGCTCTGTGTAACGGTGTACAGATATTTATTGATTAGTATTAAGGGGTGCTCCTACAGCCTCCGGGAGGAGACTAGAAGCGAAGCAATGAATACCTGATCTACATTAACAGCTAGGAGCGATCCTTAAAGGCAAACCTGATTATGTTGCTTCCTTGTTAAGGAAACAAAATCCAAACCTTTGTTTGGCCAAGGTCCCTGACTGTTTCCCTAGCGTCTTTTTGAGCCATACTTTGCCTCACTCCTTGGTTACAAATAAACCTTTCCTCTTATCCCATTCCTTGGATGCATTTCATCTTCTCCCACGAGGAGAGCCTTTACATGCGCGCACACACACCAAGTTAACTCCTGTTTATCCTTTGGATATCAGCTTTAAGTCACTTCCTCTAGGAAGCCTTTCTCCACCTTCAAGATTAAATTGGGCTCTTCCATTACCCTATACTTTTCTTCATAGCAGTTGTTACGTATTTGCATGATCATTGGTTTCTGGCTATCTCCTCATGAGATTGTCCTTTCCTTGAGGAAATGGGCTCCCTTAGTTCAGCCCACCTTTGAGTGTCATTCACCACTTGATAAATGATTGAATTGATGAATGAATGAGTGACTCAGCATCTGGCAGTGATAATTAGAGAAAAGCATTATGAACCACATTTGAACTAGGATAACAGTTCTTGATTCAATTAGACCTGGTGCTCCTTTAAAATTTTTTTTTTCAAGTGGCCAGTTAGCTCAGTTGGTTAAGCATGGTGCTAATAAAAAAAATATTTAGCAACTCCCTTTATTATTCTGAAATGGAATTTACGTATATGTATTCTTTCTATGTATAATTTTAAAAAGTCAACATAATGGAATGTTGATAAAAATATAAAGGATAAATTAAAGGAATTTAGAATAGAATAATATGTATTTCAGTATGTAAATAGTAAGGCATGACTCAGGTAGTGAGTCAGGTATTTAAGTCTCTACTTAGAAATTCTAGTGCTATGGTGTGCTTCTGCTCGAACACCACAAGCAAAGTTTTGTACCATTCTTGATGGGATATCTGAAATGGTGAGCAATTCTTGTACTGTTCAGTGTTAAATAGTACAGTCATCCCACAGTTTACAAGGTAATGCATTCCTATAAAAGTCAATGTATATGAAAACTGTACAGGAAATGATAGTTTGTGTTTACGTGGGGAAAGCTAGGTTCAAATAATATGAATTTTTTTACATATTGAATGTCAGTAGTATGTTCAAAAGTCATATAAGACAGGGGCAGTTCATCTGTTAGATAGTCTAAGATGATGCAGGATGTCTAATTTTACTGATTGCTGCCTGCTAAATCTCCTAGCGTTCTCCTGAGATGCTCACCACATGTCCCTTAGTGGGCAGGACTGCCGACTTCAAACCTCTGGCCTTGAATCCTTCAGGGCCAGATGAATGTGTGTCAGCAGATGTGTGCATTTTAGAATGTAGAGAACAATGTGTGGGCACGACTAGAAACGAAGGAGACCAGTGTTAGCAGAAGATGGGGACATCCCTGCGTGTGGCATGGCATTAAGTCTTGTGTGTGGGGGTGTAAAGGGCTCTGAGAAGGCGCTGCAGCCTGGCCTTGAGGGGCCTCAATGGGCTACTGTTTTCCAGAAGCGGGTTCAGGATGCTGTGGTCATCTTGGGGGGTGGAGGACTTCTCTTCCTCTCCTACCTGACAGCCACAGGGGATGAGCATTTCTACGCTGAACACTTGATGCCAACACTGCAGAGGCTGCTGGACCCTGAGTCAGCCCATCGGCTGGCTGTTCGTTTCACCTCCCTGGGGCTCCTTCCTTGCACCACATCTCAAGACTCTGACATGCTGGTAGGTGCTCTTGAAACACCTTATGCAACAGGTATGAGGGGGAAGGCCAAAGTTCCCTAATTTACTCAGCTGTGGCTGATCTTTTTGAAAACCAGAGTCCCGAGTTAGCCCCAGTAAATAACTGTCCTCCCCATCTATCCATACTACAGATCAGGAAACAGGCACAGAGTAGTTAAGTGACTTACCCAAAGATACATTGTTAGGAAGTGGCTGAGCCAGGATTCACCCCTATGGAGTCTGGCTTGGCACCCATCCCCTTTGCCCCTGTTCTTCCTTGCTGAGGTCTCAGGCAGCTCAGACTTCATCCCTGATCAATAAAGAAGCATGTGAGGGTCATTAACCATCTCCTGCGATGTATGCATGTGTAGCCAGGCCCTTTGAGGAAGGCGTACAAACACCTGTCCAAGCCTCACTCAGTCGTACATTCAGCACATGGGCCCCACGTGTGCACCCCACTATTCTCTGTGCTGGGCTCTGTAGCAAACACAACAGAAGAATCCATGTCCTCCTAGAATCTACATCCTCATGGACATCCTGACAGTTTCCATTTTAGAAACCCCTTACCAAATGGGGGACGACAGGAAGTTACGGACGTGAAAACAAACAAGCAGCAGCCCGTACTCTTTGGGGAAGGGTCACTGTTACAGATCCAATGTGCCCTTCTCTACATTTGCCCATTTTGTGTTAGAATCCTTTTCACTTCCCAGTCCTGCAGTTTTGAGCAGATGTGTCATGTTACCTGACTTACTAAAACCCTAAAGGGCACTGTAGAATCAGGAAGTGTTCTTTTCCTCAAGCCCTCCTCATCCACAACTGCTGGTTTAAACGTCTGAGAACCCGGAGTAACAGGAGTGAGTGATGAGTGGGATGTGGAGATGGGGTGGATTTGGAAGGAAGTAGTGCTGTGGCTGGAGCGGCACAGAGCTGTGCCCGTGCACACATAGCCCACAGGACGGGCAAGCGTGGCCTGTGAGCTGTCATCCTAAACACTTCTGCATGGGTCCCCTCCTTCAGCAACTCATTGTTTAGGATGCGTTCCAGACTCCTTAACTGATAGCATCTTGATGATCTCAGCCTGACGTAACTTTCCAGTGTTGGCTCCCCACCATTTCCCTAATTCTGTGGTTCTCAGTCTGGGCTCTGTGTTAGGAGCACCTAGGGAGCTTCTGGAATATGCAGATGCTCTGGCCTCCCGCCAGACCCACGTGGCCATCGTCTCTGGAGCCAGGACTGAAAGCTCCCCAGGGGATTCTGTCATGCAGCCAGGGTTGAGAGCCACTGTCCTCAAGGAAGGTCCCCGGGCCAGCCACACGTCCCCTCACCGTCTGGCCGCCTGGACATGTCATCTTCGTTTGTTGTTGCTCTCCCTTCCCGGAGCAGCTTTTTTGCCTCCTGCCTCCAGGACGAGATGGCGCGCACCTTGCTAGTCCCAGCGAAGTTTTCCCGGTTGGTCGTGTCAGCTAAGAATGAAGGCCTCCACTGGCAGTCACTGGCTTTGTGATTAGCCCTTGATCTTTCATACCTTTTAAAGTCATGTCTTGCTGCTAGATTTGTCAGCTCCATCAGGGCAGGAATCCTGAGTTACTTAGCTTAGACCTGACGGTAATTAGGCCTCAGTTACTCTTCTTCTAGAGAACATTCTGGAACGCACCCCTCATCTGACAGGGAAGACTGTGTCCCCAGCCACAGCCTGGTCTGGAACCCAGCCATCAGTGCTGTCAGCGGAGCATGTCCCTCTCTCTGGCGCCCACGAGAGCCTTCCGGATGCTGCTGGGGCTCTGTGTCGGCCTGGCTGGGGAGGCACATGCCTGGGGACTTACTAAGCTGATGAAAGGGTTTTGCTTTTTGACACTATTTCAGAATAGCATTATTAAGGGGCTGATACCAGTGAGTCGCTCTCTCCCACCACGGACAGATCAGAATGTACATTCTTAACGATAGTTCGTAAAGAGTGCCCATCCCCTGCTCAGCTCATGGAGGGAACACTGCTTTTCTCCTCAGCCTTGGTGATGAGAAAGCCTGATGGCTCCCGAGCTCTAGTGGACGTCCAGTGCACCTGGAGGGCACTGTCAAGAACAGATGCCCTCAGAGCTGCATTCCGCCCATCCTCCCCACAGATTCTGACTGCTTAGTCTCGAGATAGTGCTGGAATCTAATGGTTAACAAGCTCCCCAGGGAATTCTGACGTAGGTGTGCCAGGGACCACACTTTGAGAGCTTTGATATAGTCTGTGCGCCTCTGATTTTGTCTCCTTTACCCTAGGAAGTGAGAGTCCTGGGCCATAAATTCCGAAATCCTGTAGGAATTGCTGCAGGGTTTGACAAGCATGGAGAAGCTGTGGATGGACTTTACAAGATGGGCTTTGGCTTTGTTGAGATAGGCAGTGTTACCCCTAAACCTCAGGAAGGAAACCCCAAGCCCAGAGTCTTCCGCCTCCCGGAGGACCAAGCTGTCATTAACAGGTAGGTGAGCCGCCCAGAGATTACAGGGGGTGCCTTCTTCCCAGCAGGGCACTCGTGCACATGAGATCTGCCTCTGTTTCCCTATCATACAGTATGGACATTCTTCTGTCACTTAGAATGTTCAGGAACCACATTGAGCATCTACTCTGTGCAGACAAAAAAGCAGGTCTTGACTATTTCATTTTATTATTTCAGTTTAACACGGATATCCACGGAGGCTGAGAGAATTAGAGTAATTCAGCTACAATCATGAGATGATAAGCGGGAGAACTTGGGTGTGGGTTTAGGCTTATTTGAGTAGAGTTTGCTTTTTCCACATTGTTACTCCATTGTTCTTGCCCAGCCCTATCCAATAGAAATACAGTGCAAGCCCCGTATTGAAAATATTCTAGGGACCACAATAAAATACTAAAAAGAAATAGGTGAGGTTAATTTTAATACTATATTTTAATTATTATTTGTAATAACTGTTTTTAATTATAAATAATATATTCTAAATATTTTTAATATACGGTCACATAAAAATGACTTACTAGCTATTTACCTTCTTTTACTTGTACCAAATCTTCAAAATCTGGTGTGCGCTTGACTTGCAGCACCTCTCAGTTTGGACTGGCCCCCACTTCCGGTGCTCGGCAGCATGTGTGGCAGCAGCTCTTGGGTTGGACAGCACAGCCCCCGCCTTAGAAAACAGGAAAATTTAACAATCAACATACACGGCTGCTTTTAGTAAGAGAGATCCTTCTGGACTGTGCAAAGTGCTTTTCTTTGTAATCGCCGGGCAATTTTTACTACAGCAGACCTAGAAAATGAAGTTCCTACTTCTGGGTAACACTTTGGAGAGCCTCCTCGGGAAGGCCATGACAGGCATCTTCGGGACCATGGGTGGCCTTCTGGGAGACTGACCAATGGGACGTTTATTTAGCTGCACATCCTGCTTTACTGGGCTTGTTCCAGGGAAATTTCCCAGCATTAGTGATCAATGTACTGATCTTTCAGCTGCACTGCAGGCCGGGATCAGTACCTTCCCAACATTCAGGTAAAATATATGTTTATGCCTTGGCTGCCACAAATAACTGCAGGTACTAGGTAGACAGTGCTCGGCAGAAACTGTAGACGAGAAGTGGCTGAGAGGAGAGCCTGTGTGTTCGGCCTTTTGCTCTGCATGGCACATGGTGGGTGCTCAATAAACACTTGCTGAATGAATGGGGAATTATCCAGTAAGTCAACAAATACATGTCCTGCTGTATCTGTTAGGTGTTTGGGGCTGCAAGCAACAAAGTGGATCAAAGGACAGGCATTTGTTATTTTCTTCTCATAACAGGTACAGTGAGCAGTTCTGGTGCTGGTTGAACAGCAGGGCCCTGTCAGGGCTCTGGGCCTCCCCTTGTTTGTAAGGCAGCTACTTCAGCCCCAAGCCTCACACCCTCGCACACAGACATCTGAGAGCAGAAGGGGAACAGGAATCCTAGGTGTGGGGGCATTTTCACAGAGCTCCCTGGTAGGCATTACCTGTGTCTTGGTGGCCATGCCTGGTCACACGTTCATGTTTCAGTTGCCGGTGGGGCTGGGAAAGGAGTCACTGGCCTTTCTTCTGTGTTGGAGAGCTGGGTTCCACCACTCAAGGAGGGAAAGGAATGGTTGTTAGGTCAACAACTCCCTGTGGGGCTGGGGAGACAGAGACAAGCAAAAGAGTGGGGGTCCCTGCCTTTATGGAGTGTCTAGTGGCAGGGTGATAGAGAAGTAAGACAAGCCCCTTGTCCTCAAGGTTATAACCCAGTAGGGGAACTGAAGCATAGGCGTACATCCCGAGCCAGGAGAAAGATAGGTACAGAGCGCTCCCTGAATGCTACGCAATGAGGAGTTATTTGTGCCTGGGAGCTTTATGCAAGGAGGAGGAATGCTTGAGCTGGGCCAGGAGCAGGGGATTATTTAATAGGCAGAAAAGATGGGGAAATGGAGTGCAGGCTGGGTTCCAGGAGGAGAGAGGGCTGTCGCAGCGCTAAGGGCCCCCCACTGGGCAGTGCTGTGCAGGGGTGAGGCGGGGTGGGGCTGGGCCCAGACAGGGCTGCTTCCACTGCTAGTTTGCTGAGCAGTTTCCCAGCCTGCAATGTGGCTGAAAGATCAATAACTTGATTGCTAATGCTGGAAAATTTCCCTGGAACAAGCCCAGTAAAGCAGGATGTGCAGCTAAATAAACGTCCCATTGGTCAGTCTCCCAGAAGGCCACCCGTGGTCCCGAAGATGCCTGTCATGGCCTCCCCGAGGAGGCTCTCCAAAGTGTTACCCAGAAGTAGGAACTTCATTTTCTAGGTCTGCTGTAGTAAAAATTGCCCGGCGATTACAAAGAAGAGCAGTTTACACGGTCTAGAAGGGTCTCTCTTACTAAATATTTGCAAAATGTAATCTTTCTTTTTGTGTTTGATGATGTTCTTGCAAGTTCTCTAGGAGTTCTGGTGGTGTTTAGAGCTTGGAAATCTAAAAACTGGCTCTGATTTTTTTCTCTTTTTTTTTTTTAAGTCTTAAGTGTGTAGTGGAAATGGCCATCTCTCCAGTCTTTGCCTTCTGGCTGAGGGCTCTAACCTGTCCCCTCCCCGTCCACTTGTGTGCTACAGATATGGATTTAACAGTCACGGACTCTCTGTGGTGGAACACAGGCTGCGGGCCAGACAGCAGGAGCAGGCAAGGCTCACAGAAGGTAAAGTGGGGCTACATCAGAGGTCCTTTCGTTTCTTGGAAGGAAACATGGAACAAACGTCAGGAACATTCCTAGTTAAATAAACATGATTGAGCAATAGGAGAAAACACTGGAATGCAGGGCTCCTCTCCCAGGGGAACTTTCCTGGCTCTACTACAGCATCCAAGATTTTAACTGAATTTCACAATTCGTGAAGACTCCCTTAGTTTCTGCCTCATTAAATAACCTGTGTTATAGCTGGGGCAGCGTGGACATGAGCAAAGCACAGTGGCTCCTCTGTGATCACGCAGGGAGTCAAGATGTGAACAGGGTATGGGTGCTATCGCCCTGCGTCCTGCTCTGTTGTCCTTTGCCCATTATATAAATAACGCCTGCTAGTTACAGAAGCATTAGTATGTACAGAGAAGCGTGAAGAAGAAAATTTAAATTATGCATGCTCCTCCCACTCGTGGGTAACTACTCTTGACAGTTGGGAAAATATCCTCCACAACTTGTCTAGAAACACCATCATTTTTGAGGGCCGCCTTCCGAGATGCTGAAGTTTATTCCCTGGGCTTTCCTCTTTGCTGGCCCTCAGGGTGCATGTCGTGGACATGGTGCTAGGTTGTCCTCGCCATGCCTTCCCAGGCGCCCTGTGAGATTGTGTGGGGCTGGGCCGTTTTCCTCATTGGATCCCTGTGGAACTCACTCCAGGAGTTTAGTTTCAGTAGATGTCCTGGTGTCGAGATGAGAAAACCTTTGGATATTGGCTTCATCTCAGGGAGGAAGGTTGAAAGGGCCCAGGCAGTTAGCAGTCTCTGATATTGGGAGGAGAAAGTGACCTTGTTTGGAAATCCCCGGCTTGGAAGAACCAGACCCCGCTGGACTGCAGACTTCCCAGTTGGGGCACTTTGAAGGGCATAGTATGACTCTCATGGTTTATGATACTTCCTTGCCTTGCCTCCCTTTCCTTCTTGTAATTGTCCACAGTGCCAGCTTTATCCCCCTTCCCCCTCACCTGGCCCCTCACCCCCACTCTGGCGCTAATACTGATTGGAATGAAGCCAAGTCCTACAGCAGGGCCCTGCACACAGGGCTCTCCAGTAGCTTGAAGACTTGAAGACAGCTTATTGCTGGCACCAGGCCGAGGACGAAGAGCTGACAGGAGCTCTGGTGCCCTTTGGGGATAGAGTGAGTCAGCCATTTCTGTCTAACTTCACAGTCTTGTCAGTGTGGGCAGAGGGCTGCTGATGGAGCAACATTCGATGTCCTTTGGTCCTCCCTGACCTGACACTTTGTGAACTCAGTGTTCCAGGTCTTTTCCCAACCACCAGATAGGAAAGCAGCCTGTACTACTGACTACCATTGACCTTTGTAGCTAAGATGCTGTCTTCGGAGGAGTCAAGTACAGACAACTCCTTGCTTTCCACATGCAGCATGTTTCTGAAAATCCAAGTGACAAGTCAAGTGATAATCCTGTGATTTTTAAGTAAGGTGATTGTATTATTTACTATGCAAATGGAGTCACTTTTGAGAGTGAGGGGCGCAGGCATTAATAAGTATGCCCAGACTATATATATAAGAGCACTGGGGTGGGTGCTCACCCGACGAGAGGGAGTCCCTTCTCAGAGAGCCGAAACTATAAAATAATACAATTATACCTCTACATTTTAGGCATCATAATTAAAAATATTCTGCAGTATTTTGCTTTAACTCCAGAACTGCACCCAGTCACTTGACTCAAGTCCAACAAGCAGCCCTTGAGAGTAAACAGCTGCTCCTTGGTTTGTCTGTTCTCAGTGGTACTTATTTATGGGTTCTACCTTTTTTATCACTAGTATTTACAATCCTGATGTCTCCATTTTCCATTGAATTTTTAAGAGAAAAGGGGCATAACATAATACAGTGTCCCAGTTAGTTGCCCAAACTGTTCGTGGGCTGGTTAGTCAAGGATGGCCTCAAAATGCGTCACAGGAAGTGTTGTGTGGGGGCAAAGTCCTGACCATACGTCTTTACAGATGGGCTACCACTGGGAATAAACCTGGGGAAGAATAAGACCTCGGTGGATGCTGCCTCGGACTATGCAGAGGGGGTTCGAGTCCTGGGCCCCTTGGCTGACTACCTGGTAGTGAACGTGTCCAGTCCCAACACGGCTGGGCTACGGAGCCTTCAGGGAAAGGCTGAGCTGCGCCGCTTGTTGACCAAGGTGGGCGATAACATTTCCAGGTCCTGCTCCACCTTCCTGTCCTACCTACTCCTGTCCATTCTCCAGGGTGAAGCTTCTGCGTCACTACCGGCCGCTGTGATTAACACCTGGACCAGATAGGCCCCCTTTCTATACCTCTAAGCCCCTGTCATATCACTAATTATGCTCCGTCATAACCCATCATCCAGTTCTCTGTCCCTGCTGCTAAACGGAAGGCCTGTGAAGGCAGGGACCATGTCTCTCTCATTTACCACTCTGCCCTAGCATCTAGCACATTGAGTGAATGAATTTTCATCAAACAGTATTTTCCTTGTTACCTCTTTTAGAAATGAAAGTCTAAATAAACCTTAATGTGCCAGCCAATGCCCATGACAACATTAGGGATTTAATCTTGGGGATTCCTTGGTTCAGGAGAATGGAACCTGGTCTGTCTTGATGGGTGGGGTCTTCCACAAAACTGAGAGCTGTATCTCCGGAAAGGGGAAATTGCTGGTGCTTTTGTTCTAGAGCTGGTGTGCAACATGCTGGTCTCCGGCTGCACCATTGGTGGCAGTCTCGAGGTCATCTCTGGCCACACGTTGCTCTAGGTGCTGCAGGAGAGGGACCTCCTGAAGGGAGCACACAAGCCTGCTGTGCTGGTGAAGATCGCGCCCGACCTCACCGCCCAGGACAAGGCAGATATCGCCAGCGTGGTGAGAGAGGTGCGAGTCGGGGCAGGCGTGGGGTCGCCCCTCACGTCTGAGCGGCCGCTTGGCCAGCTGGGCTAGCCCAGAGGAGAGGGCAGTCATCTTGGCTTCCTTTCCGTGCTGGTTTAGTGCCTGTCACAATGCCGGTCACGGTATAATAAAAAGCAAGTGTTTGAATGAGTCTTTTTCTCACGCCTTTTCCCCCGTCTGGTCCTCCAGCCGGGTCTTTAAGGCTTGTGCTCGCATTCTGGGCCTATCTCGGGCACACCGGAGTGTTCTGTTTTTTCTCTCTCTCCAGTCTAACAACAGGTCTGTGTGTCGTAGGAGAGTTTGTGAAACACAGACTGAGCCCAGCAGTCATGGGTTCAAATCCTAGTTCCACCACTTACTGCCTGGAGGTCTTGGACAGCATATTCTGAAGTGGGTTGTTCTAGGGATAAGCCCTGCCCTTGTGGGATCTTGTGGGTGGTTGGTGACGGCTGCTGTTGTCATGTTGCCACTCATTCTGACACTTGTTCAGGAAGCACGGTGAGGTCTGGTATAGCTCTTGTTTCCATGGCTGGAGGCCTGGGCATCTGGCCCAGGTGTGTCCCAAGCCTCCAGGGAAGCTTCTCCATGCCCATCAGTTCCCTGTCTCTGTCTCACACTGCAGTTGGGCATTGATGGATTGATTGTCACGAACACCACAGTGAGTCGCCCTGCCAGCCTCCAGGGCACCCTGCGCTCTGAAATGGGAGGGCTGAGTGGGAAGCCCCTCCGAAATTTATCAACTCAAACCATCCGGGAGATGTATGCACTTACCCAAGGCAAGAATTCTGTGTCTGTGTCCCTGGACTTGTATGTGGCTTGGGTCCTGGGGCTGTGATTAGAGTCTGTGTTCCCTGAACCTCAGCATTCAGCAGGGACACCGGAGGGCCGAGACCAAACAGCTCTGGGGCCCCTGCCTCACGACTCTGCCCTGTGCTTCTCTGTAGGCAGAGTCCCCATCATTGGCGTCGGTGGTGTCAGCAGCGGGCAGGATGCTCTGGAGAAAATCCGGGCGGGGGCCTCCCTGGTGCAGCTGTACACAGCCCTCAGCTACCAGGGGCCGCCTGTGGTGGGCAGAGTCAAACGGGAGCTGGAGGCCCTTTTGAGGTGAGTTAGGCCATGTGTGGTCCGAAACAAGAGTTAATGTGGTTTTGATCCAGAATGACTTGAACCAAGGGGATGCTTTCATCTTTCTCTATTCTTCATTAAAAAAGGGGTACAGTCCAGTACGGAGAATATAGCCAATGATTCTTTAACATCTTCCTATGTTGACAGATAGTAACTGCACTAGTGGGGGTGAGGATTTAATAATACGGGAGACTGTTGAACCACCGTGTTGTATACTTGAAACCAATATAAGATTATATATCAACTATACCTCAATTAAAAAAAAAGAGGGTACAGTCTATTCTAGCTATGATAAAGGACCAACCAATGCAAGGAATTCAAGATTAACTTCCAAGGCAATGGTTTTTATAGGCCTGAGAAGTTTGGGTGGCATTCCCATTCATTCAGGAACACTGGCTTGATGTCAGGGAGCTCTCGATACTTAAACCTGATTCCCTTCCTGGTCTGCAGACCTGAGTGCAAATACTTCTAGGTTCCTGGGTAAAGACAATGTAGAGGGCATGAGGCATGTGTTTGCGAGAGGAAGAGGCAGTGATGAAGCAGGCAGAGGTGATGTGAGCATGGGCTTCCAGTAAGAGGAGTTCCTGTCCTTCACCATTTGCTGAAATTGCTTGTTCTCCTTTTCTAGGGAACAGGGTTTTACTAGAATCATAGATGCCATTGGAGCAGATCACCGGAAGTGAGGACATCGTTGGTGGGAAGCCTGATCTAGAATCTTCTCACTAAATCGGGTGAGCCTTGTCCTGGACTGAGAGAGCAGGGCCACTGACCCCCAGAGCCTGTCCTCCAGCCAGCCATGAGGGTCCCGGGATCGACACAAGGCTTTCTTCCTCCGCTTATCACATCGTGAACTGCATTCATGGCTCTTTCTAGAGAAAGGACTATCTAGTGTCCTTTAATATTTGCAGGACATTAAATATTTTGGGGAAAATCATGGAAAAAATAAAGCCATTTAAAACCTGGAGTTAAATCCCAGCCCCTCCGGAAGGCTTCAGGCTTCACTTAGACCCTGCAGATTCTTCCAGGCCTCTGAACCTGGGGTCCACAGTGGGCTTTGCAGGAGCTTGACTGTCTTTATTTTTATATAAGTTTTTAACATTATTTTGATAACTTGCAAACACAGGCAAAACCTGCAAGAATAGGGCTTGTGGGCAGCTGTCCTCTCCCTGTGTCTTCACATCATCTTTGCCGTGTGTCCTGCCCCCTTCCTAGAGGGACACCAGTCATGCTGGATGAGGGCCCATCCCGGTGGTCTCTTTTTAACTGGACTACCTCTGTAAAGACCCTGTTTCCAAATACGGTCACATTGTGAGGTTCTGGGGCTAGGATTTCAACATTGACTCTTGGGGAGACACAATTGCATCACAGGAAAGGTGCTTGCTGTCCCCTTTCTTTAATATTTGTGACTAAGAGTGCCGTTAGGCAGACAGGCCCTCAAGGTGCATGGAGATGCCGGACGAGAGGCTAAGAAGTCTTTAAAGAGACAGAGAAACGCCCATCCTCCCTTCTGAAAAGCAAACGGTGGAGAGAAGCTGGAGACTCATCTGGGAAGTGCTGGTAGCGTCTGGCACGCCTTCACAGCCAACAGAAAATTACCTTTGTTCCCATCAGCCCAGAACAGATTTTCTTTTAAATTCGATTTCTCGGTAGCTCTGTGGAGAGGCATGTCCCTATTGCCTCATCGTTTACCCGCGGCCTCAGCCTGGGCCTGTCCCTTTGCCCGCTCACCCTGTCTGGAAACCAACAGCCAGTCTCTTGCTGTCCATTTCAAAGTCTTTGTCCTATTTTTTTTTAATCTCCTATCATAAAAATAATATCTACTCATAAAGAAACTTTTACAACATAGCCCCCTAATAAAAGTTGTCTACCTCTTTTCTCCCACAAACAGTTCCACTTCTCATCAGTAACAGGTAACTTTTCAATCTATATAGATTTTGCAGGTATTTTTCTTTGTATATATATATATCTTAGCTGCCTTTTGATCTGCACACCCATGTAGAGAAGTATTGACAAGAATAGCGTAAAGAACTGTTTTTTAATCCTGAATCATATGAGAGTAAATTGCTGAGCTGATGCCTTGTCATCCTGAATATTTCAGTGTGGATTTCTTGCCAACAAATTCATTCTGTGCAACCACAATACACAGCATCAAAATCAGGGTATCAGCACTGGGACACCATTACTTCCCCTCATCTGCAGGCTGGGTGGCAGGCAGAATTTCTAATGTCTCCCTTCTCCCCAAGTGCCCTTGCCCTCATCCCCAGGCCTATGATGTGATGAGATGTCACTCCCATGACCTTACCATGTTATGTGGCTTAAGATGGGCGGCTCCTCAAAGACAGGTATTTGGGTGGGTCCAGTCTTATCATCTGAGCCCTTTAGGAGCTGTTTTCCCTGCCTCAGGGAAGAAGAATCAGAGAGATTGGAAAAGGAATCAAAGTACTATTGGTGCTTTGAGATTGGGGTAGGGGTCACGTGAGGAGGAACGCATTGGTCCCAGGCAGCGAGAAACAGGATCTCAGACCTACAGCCACAAAGGATTTTGCCAACAACCTGAATGAGCTTGGAAGTAGCAGAGTTTTTCCTAAAGGACCAACACCTTGATACTGGTACTGTCACAGCAATAGAAGACTGATAAGTTGTTATGTTTCTGGTT